TTATTTCTTTGCAAGACTGACAAGGGAATTGTTTTGTTATTAGTATATTGTCATCACAGGATCTGATAATCAATTGATTAAACTAGCTATTAAAGAATTTGCAAAGCTTCAGGTTCTTTTCATATAAAAGATTTAGGATCATTAACTTATTTTTTTAGGACTCGAGGTTCACTCTTCTGCCGCTGGTATTTTTCTTCATCTGCACAACTATACGAAGGGACTCATTGCTTTGGTTGGTCTTCAAGATAGTCGCTCCACTGATACCCCTTTGAAAGTAAATGTCAAATATCAACAGAATGATGGCGACTTTCTATCTGAATCATCTCTATATAGACAACTGGTTGGCAGTCTCAATTATCTGACTATTATGCGTCCTGATATTTCATTTGTTGTACAACAAGTTAGTCTATTTATGCAAGCACCTACACATCTTTATTTAGCTGCAGTTCGACGTATTATTCGATATTTGAAAGGCACTTCTCATCGTGGTTTGTTCTTTTCTGCAAAGTCTCCTATCACCTTAACAACCTATAGTGATGCTAATTGGGGGTTGGTTGTTCTGATACACGTCGATCTATTACTGGATGATGCATGTTTCTCGGCAACTCTTTAATCTCTTGGAAGAGCAAGAAACAAGATCGAGTATCTAAGTCATCTACTGAATCAGAATATCGCGCTATGTCCTCTGCTTGTTCTGAAATCATTTGGCTTCGTGGCGTGCTGGCTGAGTTTGGTTTTCCTCAGCTTGAGTCTACTTCTCTTCATGCAGATAATACTAGTGCTATCCAGATTGCTGCTAATCCCATTTTTCATGAACGCACGAAACGCATTGAAGTGGATTGTTATTCCATTCGAGAAGCCTATGAGGAGGGTGTTATATCTCTTCCTCATGGCACTTCTGATCTTCAAACAGCAGATATATTTACTAAAGCTCTTTCTCGACAGCGTCATCAGTTTCTTGTCAGCAAATTAATGTTTCTTGACCAACCAGCATCAATTTGAAGGGGGATATCAATCAGGAATAAAAGAAATCAGACAGAATAAAGAGTTTCCTTCTTCGCAATACTGCAAAGAGGGAAATATTATATTTACACGGATTCTTTCCTTTTAGCTAATTATTCAGATTATGATTATGTATTAATTAAGTTACTTAATTTAGAATATACTGAATATTTTGTACCTAAAATAGATTGTACAAACTACTATTTATTGGAATAAAAGTAAAAGAAAAGGATTCAACCTATTTGCTCAAAATATTGTCAGAAATAACATGAATTCACCAATAGTTTGTTAGAATCACAATTAATAAGCCATGGATGACGTAGGCTTACTACATTTTTCTTCAATTAAAAACTAATAAGCACCAAGTTATGTTCATTTTATGTGAGCCAATCATGTTCAATTTACACATATGTTAGATAAGAGGAAAATTTAAACATGACAAAACACCATGCCATGTTGGATATACTCTTATTATTTAAGTATCAAAAAAGATTGAAAAAAAAAACATCATAAAAAAAAATTCCCAAAAATCTTGATACTTCTTAAAGAATGCCTTATTCATTTCCAAGTATATTTGAAGCTTTAGAGGAGAGGTATCATATAATGCCAAATGATGATCCTACTAATAGTTTTATAAGAAATTAATTGGCTACATATTAGATACTCAGAGTGGTTACTTCGTTGGATAATTCGTATTAATGCTATTCATCTGGTTAATAAACTTTAAATTAAAAAAAGGAGATATGAAGCACATTACACACAAATTATGAAGGCGGGATAATTTCTATTTAGTCCCATTTACATGTATACATGAACCCTGAACAAATAAATTTAAAGCATACATTGCATGCACTATATTTGTTCTTCGAGTGGCTGGATTTATGCTTTATCATAGACTGTGAGTATATTCACCCATATATAAATGTTATTTATATCTATGAGGGTTATTGGAAGCTCTGGTTAAGGGAAGAGATGAAAGAGAAAAAAAAATGTTAAGGGATAAAGAAGAAAAACGATAGTTGAGAGCAGAATAAGAGAGAATAAAACGTGAAGTGCACTAGAGAAAAGCCAATCCCACGAGACGAGAGGGAAATGCAAGATAAGAAAGCTAGAGAGGCACAAGGGGGAGAAAACATCATGGAAAACATGTAGGAACGATAGAAAAAAGGGACAAGAAAGAGAGAATCAAAGAAAGAGTAAAGAGTGGAAAAAGGGAAAGAACTGCAATACAACGATACATTGCAGAAAATATCATAAATATTCAATAATTATTATGTGCCCTAAGAAAGATTATGATTATAGGAAGGTATGGAATAATTACATTAATGTCCCAAAAAAAAAAGCAAGTGCTAAGAAGATAAATAAAAATTAATTAATAATAATTAAAGAAGCTTAATCAAATGTCTCCTGATACACTAATTAATGAAGACAAAAATAATAATCAATCGCACCATCGGTGACGTGCAAATCAAATGGCATTACATACATATATAAATAAGAACCTAAGATAAAATCTATGGGCATCTATACATACCTAAGAATATAGTTAATTCAATGAATTACGCAAAATTAATCCTTTATTCTATTGTAATTGGTGGTATGCCGATATCCTATAATGTTTTGTTACACATAAAGTTTGTGTTCTTTACCCAATTTAAATCCCAAGCTAACCTCATTTTGTCAATATCTCACCTACATGCTCTGTCTTTATCACTCTCACTCAACATCCTTCTCGTGTTAGACTTGTTTGGGTGACCACAACTACCACATTACCCACTCAAGCGTAACAAAGAAAATGGCTTGATAATGGGTGAAAGAGTAAAACCATCTACTCGCAACGCAGCCTGTTTTGGCGTAGTTCTCAAGTGTGCATCAAAATGTTCAATAAACTATATTTGATGCCAAGATCAAATTTTCCCTTTAATTATATTAATAATTTAATATAGAAGTATATAATAAAATATATTAGAGCAAATAGTGTTCAACTTTTTCAAGCTTTTCATCCCATGTCACAAACCACATGTCAAAAAGCATGATCATACACATAATCCCTTCTTTTGTAAGGGTATGGGGTTCTATAGTTATGTACCTTCAGTAATTTTAAATAGAAAAAGGCATACCCGACAGAGAAGATATCCATTGATTTCTTCAACGGAGCATCTGGTGCACTATGGGCCTCACCAACATGGTCATAAAACCTCTGAAAGACATGAATAGAAATGATTTCTTCTCAGTACACGTGAAGTCTCTAAAACTTGCATAAAATAAATAAGTGCAGCAATAACTATAAGAAATTTGCAAAATTCATTTATTTAGAAACTTCAAAATGAATAAACAAACAAACACATCATATAGAAGACAAGATATCTAGATTGCAGGTGAGAATAGAATCAAAAGCAACAAGGGATGACAAAATGCTAGAAAAAAAACCATGGCTCTAAAAAAGGTTAACCTATTAATCTCTATGTTGAAGAGTTATACTGGTGGTTCAAACAAAACCATTTCACTTGGCTAGCAATGTGCTCTAGTATGTTATTTTTGTGACGGTTTGCTTTAGCTCATTGAGCAAGCTTCGCATTGCTCACAAAGCTTCACATATAATTTAAGAAGCTCAAAAATAGATCAATTGGTTCGATGGGTTCATAACTAAAGCTCATTTTCCGACCAAGAAGTAGATCTTTAACATCTTTTTTTAAAGTTTCTATGGTTTTTTAGTATCTCAATAATCATATATATTAGCCAAAGTTCCTGCTTATTTAAACACACCTTTGCATAGTTTACATAGATTTGTACTTCTTTTAAATAAAGAAGGGAATTACACCCAGAATTTAATAAGTAAAGAAAAAATTATGAATAATGATAACTTTTTTATAACATCACTACCAACTAATGATGCTTATTGAAGTTCAAACTTAGTTGGGCACAATAAGAGAATAAATGAATAAACATAAGCAATCTTTCAAGGGATGAATCAAATTTCACGGTTTATTAATTAAATGACTTTTAAATCATAGTTCTAGTTGCTTCAGCTTGATAACAACTGAAAGGATATACTTGAACCAAGCAGCTCTAATCTGCTCATTTACACTCCTCTAATAGAAATAGTCTACAAGGATAACCAAACTATTATTGCTAGACAGTTAGTAAAGATAAAAGATTAATGGAAAATGGGCTAAAGATGTTCAATAAAAAGGTAACGTTTGCCATATGAATGGAGGCTTTTGGTGTCATTTTACACAAGATATTGTACATTCAAAGTGAATTAAATAAATAACCCTAGTTTGAATGTAACAAAAAGGGGCAAAACTATGCCCAAACTTTGATAGCAAAAACATATCCATGAACAAAATGGCAAAAACAGTTCGCCTAAAACACTTAGTGAAGCAAAACTAAACAGCTCAAACCACATCCTCCTTGTAAACAACAAATTATAACCAATTCAACTTAAGGATTGGAAGAATACCTCAGGCGCAAGATAGCACCGCCTCCTTCCTCCAGTATCAAAAAAGAATGAGAAATCTGAAGGGTCATCATCTGGTATATATGTGGGCTTGAAAGATGCAAAGTCCGCAAGGTAAAGCCAGTTCCAAGAGGTGACGAGGACATTCTCACACTTGATATCACCTGCAACGCCCAAAAAAAGTCCATTTTTCTAAGAATACCCCTTATAAGTGGTTCAATGATTTGGCCCTAGAGGATGCTCGCTCACCATGGCAAACTTCCTTGTCATGGCTCTGCTTCACTGCACAAAGTAACTGCACAACCAAACGAGCTAAGTCCACAAACATATCTGGAAAGCATTAAGAAGAATGCTGATACAATCAATCTACCATTGCATAGTACTACAGGAGAATACTTGGACAGAATGGACATGGATACAAGAAGAAACAAAGATTGGTTTCAGCAGTGTACATCTTTTTCCCAAAAACAAGAAGATTAGAGAACCAATACCTGATAAGCAAGCCATTTCTTCTCAATAAGACTGAGAAAGGGCCGTGTGCTCAGCCGATCATGAAGATTGCTGAAGAAGTGTTGTCTCAAGAGGTACGCTGCCTTATCTGTCTCAAGCCAAAACTGCATAGCAACCAATATGAAGCATTCGTCGAGAAAATCCAAAGATATAATAAGACGTAGAAATTTTCACAATCAACACAACAGTTCTGCCGTTACCATAACACTAAACCAATCAAGGTTATATTTCAAGAGGGAAGAGATTAGAAATGAGTAAATATTCACTTGGACTAGGTAACGCAAAGTACATTTTAGTGCTCGAGAAGAAAGATATAGACAAAGTGAGAAAGAAGCAAACCCATTCCCTCTCCAGAATTTTCTCTCCCATCCCCATTTCTCGTCTGTACTCAACACCAAGCTAATATTTTTCCAATTGGGATGGATAAAAGTTACGAACGAGGAAAACAAAAGAGCATGAACTTCACAGGAGCTCACCTGGAATGGCCAAACATGGGGGTGCTGCACGGTCTGGAATATATTTCTAATCTCAAAGAGCCTTTTTTCGTACTCCTGTTAGGGTTTTGCATCCAGAAAGAAAAAAATAATGTAATTTAATTGGTAATGAGATCCTAGAATAACAATGTTATCACAGCATCACCTTGAGATCGAGGCGTTCACCGCGCTTGAAATAGACCTTAACCAGGACGAGACCCTCGTCGTGCTTACAAAGAATGGATTTGAAGAACCGCCCTCGTCCAAGGACTTCAATCAGCACTAGATTATACGAGGAAGGGAGGTCGTGGAGGTAATACTCCGTTGCCGAAACTTGGGTTGTTCGTGCTATCTTGTTCCCCATCTCCTCTCCCTGACGACCCAAAAAATCTTCTCTTTGACGTCAATTTCTCTCGCCGAGTACTAATTGTTCCTCTTCCTTCTCCTAATCCTCACAAATCTCCGTGAATTGTAGATGTCGCCACAGAGACAGCGACGGTGAGAACAAATGGGGAGGCGATGAATAAGATGTGATTACATGGAATAGTGTGAGGAAGGAAGAATCTTAAATCCAATTCCTCCTTCCTTTTACCTTCAAAAACCCTAACTTAGTAAATCCGAGCATTGCACTAAATCCGAGGTCTCATGAACAGTTCTTCTTCCTCGCATCGACTGCCGCGGCGACCTCCTCGCTTCCTTTTCGTCCGGGATCAAAACAATCGAGTGGAAGAAATTCGCACGCAAAAAGCGACTGCAAGTTTCTCCATTTATAATTTTGTTTATTAAATTACATATTTAACCTTTTAATTTCAACAAATTTATCTAAAATATTGCATCAAAAAATATATGATAAATTTGATTTATCAAGGCATTTCAAATTAAATATATATCTATACATTAGGTTTATGTAATTATAATAATTAGTTAAATTAATGGTATGGTCACTGTATTTTATTATTTATTTTCTAATATTTTAAATTTTATTACCTCCTTAATAAATCAAGTAAAGCAACTCAAATTTTACCATGTCATTAGCTTAAATCATTAGGTGTGTTCCAAATAAAACAGTTTCATTACTATTAATCCAAAACTATAATGGGTGTCACTTAAATTACTAGATAAAGAAATTATATATAACATATTATGGAAGATATATATGCCATCAATACTAAGAGTTATATGGTCTATAAGTGATTTTCAAATAATAATGGAAACTTATATATCCTTTTAATATTAAGAGGAATTGATCATTTGTTAAGTAGATGATGGACATAAATGGCTAAATAACTTCAAAAATTACAGTGCATTCGACAACATGCAATTAGGAATACCAATCAAGCAATTAATATGGTGGTATGAAGCAATAATTAGTGGTTTACTCCAATCATATTATGGAAGACATATATGCTATCAATACTAAGAGTTATATGGTCTATAAGTGATTTTCAAATAATAATGGAAACTTATATATCCTTTTAATATTAAGAGGAATTGATCATTTGTTAAGTAGATGATGGACATAAATGGCTAAATAACTTCAAAAATTACAGTGCATTCGACAACATGCAATTAGGAATACCAATCAAGCAATTAATATGGTGGTATGAAGCAATAATTAGTGGTTTACTCCAATCATATTATGGAAGACATATATGCTATCAATACTAAGAGTTATATGGTCTATAAGTGATTTTCAAATAATAATGGAAACTTATATATCCTTTTAATATTAAGAGGAATTGATCATTTGTTAAGTAGATGATGGACATAAATGGCTAAATAACTTCAAAAATTACAGTGCATTCGACAACATGCAATTAGGAATACCAATCAAGCAATTAATATGGTGGTATGAAGCAATAATTAGTGGTTTACTCCAATGTTTGTTGGTATGAAGGAATAAAAGATGATCGAGAGTATTTAATTGTATGTTGATGGATAGCATGTGTTGAACATCTGTTATTAGAAAGTATCGTACAGTGATAAACCAAGAACGTCAAAATTTAGCAATCAATTTCATCGGTCTTTTCATATGGAAGGATGCAAGACAACCAAAAAGTTCATCGAGTACAAATGGTTAATAAATGTTAGGTGTTGAGTGTTAGTAAGCATATAGTAATGACTGACAAAGAAAAATAAAGATTGAGTGACATTGCGAAGTTAACTTGGTTCTTCTCTGTATAGGATAGGAGAATGAACTGCTATGTAAATGAAAATTGAATGTTCGTAATAGTTGGACATTGAACATTGATTGTTGGCAAGAATGTTGAATGGAAATATTGGAAGATAGATGATAATCAATGGTCTTAATTGACCTTACTTTTGATATATAAGGAGGCATGCCAAGAAAACTTATGTTGGATGTCTAAAATTGGTTAGCATCATTGTTGTGTAATAATGGTGAAGTGGGTATAAATGTTGATACCTAAATGATTTCATGTAATGATAATTAAAGTTCTAGAAGTTTATCTCAATCTACTCCACTTAACATATAATATATAAGAATATGTTATACACATCTACTTATATAAAGTTAGAGAGACATTCTGAAATTTTTTTCTCATATATTAAAATAACTAAATGGTTTTAATTGACTTATTTTAATTTTTTTAATATTTTTTTGATATGATGAAATTAAATTTAAGTAATTTTAGGTTTATTAGATTTAACTCATTAAGACACTCATTTTGATTATAAATATAAAAAATTTAAAGAACATTCTTTAAATGACAAAAAAAAAATTATGTTATGATAGTTTGATTATGCACAATTTAGATTTTAATTCAGGCATTCTTATTTATGTTACATTATTATTGTTACCACATTCTTACCCATATTTTAACCTATGAATGCCTTCATGAGCATTTTTCCTAATATTTTATAGATATCACATACTAGTAGATATGGTTATGCAAAATTCGTTGTCCCAATAACTCTAATAGTTAAAGTTTAGCAAAAAAAAAGAAGTTAATTGTGATATAAAAATCAAATTCAAACACACAACAAGTGCAAAATTTTATTATATCATTGTAAAATATTAAACTTTATCCTTTTAAATGAGCTATAATTTTGACTACAAAGAGACCCAAATTTGATTGATTAAATTTCTTGTTTAATAGCATTAAAACCCCTGATGCAAATCCATACCCAAATATTTTGATAAAGATAAAATTAAGTTAATAGACCTTGGATGCATTATGTGAATCCATGCATGGCATCTGATCACTGGGCCTATGATAACTATTTTAGATATTTAAATTAGATGGCACCTTAGTTGTTGAGGACCTCACAACACTAAATATTCTAACAATTGTTAATTGGGTTGTTTTTTATGGTTCTACTCAAGTTAGATTGATATGATATATTATTTAAAGTTGATTAAGGTGACAAAATCAATTTTAGAATATCATTTTAAACAATTCCAAGGGGCCCACATCTTCAATATTGTATTCGGGGGTGTCTGATTTAAAAAGGGTAAGATTAAAAAAAATGAGTTTAATGGATAAAACTAATTAGTCTTATCAAAAGATAGAAATATTTATAAATAACTTTCGTACTAATGGATAAAACTAATTATGTTTATATACTTGAAAGTGTGCCTAGGTCTATGTCATTTAAAGGAAAATAATCTATAAGACTAGCTACACGCTTGAACATCTCAAGCAACATTATTGACATAAGGATCATGCTAATGATCTATTTTAACTTGAGTTAATCAACCAACAAACTCTAAGGAAAAGTCAAGTGTAATGAATGAGCTTATAGGGGTTAACAAGTTTATGTTAGATATCCCAAAAAAGATAGACATTATTTGACTTAGATTTGATGGTTATGTCATCCCAATACATCAAGTCTCAAATTTACTTGATTGTAAAGAAATTTGGACAAATCTAGCCAAAGATTTCCTATTAGTAACAACAAATTATATCATTAATAGAAACCTTATAATCTAAAATCAAACAAGTAAACAATAGTAAGCCTTTATCCCACTAAATGGGGTTAGCTGCATGAATATTTTTTCTGCATTGTGCCTTATTAAGTGTCATATTTTCATCTAATTCTAATAAATCAAGATCACAAGATCATTTTTATACAACAAGATCATTTTTATACAACATACTCAAGTCTTTTTACGTCTAGCTTTACATTTCTTAACACAAATCAAATCAAAAACATCTACTCTCCTAATTGGACCATCAGATGGTCGACATTTGATAAAAAACTATCCATTAGATCTAGAAATTCACAGATAAAAATACATAATTCTTGGATACAAGACTATCAAATAGACCTAAAAATATATTAAGATTATATTCATGGCAATATAAAGAGATGCCGATAGAAAGATAACTATAACAATTTTGATTATGCATAAAATTATAGTATGGATCTTACAATTCTATCTTAAAGCAAGATTGTCACTACAAATTTACACATCTAAACAATCACAATTCGTGAGTTCTAACTTGCTATACAATCCTGATTCAGTATATTTTTAAATAATATGACAAAATTAGGAACATTTCTATATAATTTCATTTGATGAAGCCAGATGAACATGAAGGAACCATAATGTATTAAGCAGCAGTTAGTGAGCCATTGAAAAAAAAAAGCTATACATGAAGATCAATTTTTAGGTTCGTTTGGGAGCGGTATTGTTGCACCACATTTTTGTCTGTTTGGGTAAATTACGTTTGGACAATTTTTTCAAAAAACTGCAGCTAAAATCTGCATTTTCCCACCACTTCTAACTAAGTGCGGTGACAACTTTCCAAATGCATTTTAACTTTAAAAAAAATTGTACTAGCCACCGCAACTTTCTAAGCATCAAATTATTATTCAACAGCTTCACAACGGTTTTTTAATAAGCTACAACTGCCCCAAACAGAATCTAACACCTTAAAATTATTCATTTTATTTTCAACTAATATATTATGTATTCGAGCATAATAAAATCTATTTATAATTCTTTTGAAAGAATTAAGTATAATTATAATAATATTATTTTTATGGAGCCAAAATACATATGCACTCTTTAACACACCAACAATAAGAAAACCCGAAACAAGTCTTCACCACGCCAAGAAAAAAGTCTATCATAAAATCCAATATAGTATTGAAAAAAGAAAAAAAAAATTAAGGTGAAGACGCCTCTTGTGCTTCAACTCATCAAAACAAGAATTTTACATTCAGCGTCTGCATGTTCGAACATCAACAATGTTGTTCAACAAATGTAATAATTTTCCACATCCAAACGCTGTAGACCAAAGCTAGGTTTGAATGAAGAATAAGAACAAAGATAATCAGTAGTATATACTACAATCAGATGCCAAAAATAATACAACTTTTCATGCATGGAAAAGGAGGCGTGCATGTAAAAATTGAAGTTTAGGTATTAGATATGTAAATACAAAGGCATTGGGTGGTATGTATGGTATGTATGTAAATGTCCCGTAATAATATCACTTGGACGATGGCGCAGCCTGTAGGTATGAATGCAAGGAAACTGGCTAGAATGTCAGTTACTGTCAGATTGAGCAGGGTGAAGAGCCAGAGTTCCAATGCAGCCGAGGAAGAGAAATACTTTCAACAGCCTGAACATGAATCGGAAGTCGGCGCAGAACTTTTTCCGGCCCATCGACACCACCTGCAGTGATTGGTGCCAATTCAGCAATAGAATATATGGACAATGTGGAAGGAAATTACATCAAAAAAGTCTGTTTTGCAAGTGAAA